TGAAAATTTTTTTACGTACTTGATATTCAAGATAAATCATTGTTTTCAGTAATAAAACATTATGAAACTTCGTCGTATTACTAATATATAATAAATTTGTTTCAAAAGAATGAAAAATGTTTTTTTTTGCACTGCATGGGTGACTGATATTAAATTGCAACAATTTACTGTACTAATTAATATTCAAACAAATAAATCCAATCAATGCAAATCACGTGTACACCAAACGTCAAACTATTTTCTAGCCTCTATATATTTAATCAGCCATCAACAAAAGATTCAAGCTTTCATTAAAATATTTTCACCACGTGATTGCATATGTTGACAAAAAACTTCGATCGTGCCCGTAACAACGTCACCCGTATTGTAAAAGTGACGTACAGCAAAAAAACGATTACAACCCTTTCACCATCTCTACAGCCTCGGTATCACAAAAATTCGTCAACACACATACTTGAGCGCATGAAAGCAGAGGCAGACTTTTAACAACCAATGTCCCTCTCACGCTTTCACGCACACCTTATAAACTTAAAAAAAAATGTTTTTATTACGCTTGAAGGAAAAGAAAAAATCGCAAGATTGACGATGGGTTGCAAAACGATCACGTTCAGCCGGTCAGCTTCCTTAACGACGTTCTTGAGACGAGAGAATAGCCATCAGGGTCGAGAGAGAGAGAGAGAGAGGGAGAAGCGGAATTATTTTTTATTGTACATCAATTGCGGTGGGCTTTTCGACGCGTTAATTAGTCCTGCGGGCGCCAAATGAAAACTCTTCCTTGGAGGGATATCCTTTATTGTCGAAGGCCTTTCAATTTTCGTTGCCACGTGTTTATACATATTACAAGGTAAAACAACGATGAGATTTTGCAGTCTGGTTATTTTTACAATACTCTTGTCGATATTTTTTTACATGGCTTTAAATGTACTGTAAATCTGGAATTGCGTGAAAAACCACGCATCCGAATCACAGAGGTGGATTCAATCCGCGGAATGAGTGGAAAAGTTGAAGTAAACAGGAAACTAGACTTTATTTTTACAATAAAAAAATGTACGCAGCTCGTGTACATCAGCTTGTTGGGGTGGTTTAGTTGCAGATCGGTCATGATAATGTTGCGGGATCAAGTATACCGATGTACTTACTTGGGATTTGAAAATGCATTGAAGGTAGAGTTTAAGTTGTAATAAGTATGGAATCTGATATTTTAAGTGCACTAGTTCATCATAGAGGTAGAAATGGTTATTAGAGTAAATGATAACTTCTAGGACAAATAGATTAATGCGACGAGAATTTTTTCAATTTCAACCACATTTCTCGGAGTCCATGTCATTATTATCTTGATGTATTCAAATTACAGCTTGTGCTTGACGATGTAAAAAAAAATTACAATTTTCTCCGAGTTAGTTTTTTCTACTGAACCATCGATGTGTTAAATGTACGGACTATTATCATGAAAATTATCAAATAATCTAGCTTCGTCGTTATAAAGGTTTATTAGTTCTATTTTATTGTCAAATGTTTATTGTACAAGTACATGATTCAGGTAAAAAAGAGTCAAAGATTATTTATAATTTTATTTTTTACTTTTCATGACATGTTTGAAAAACTAAATAACGTTTAAGATGGTATACTACCAATATATAGGTGTAAATAAAAAATTATAATCTCCACTCAAATAGCATATACTAATTATTATATTCGTTCTGTACCAAATTCATAATTAGCATAAAATTAAAATTAACATAAGCTAGGTTTCTTCTTTATATCAATACCTATACAAATTCACCATCTTTGATTTGCAGAAAAAATACGTATTTATCGGTATAAAGGAATTTGTGATTTCTTATGTCGTTTTACAATTATGTATACACACAAAAGCCAGAAGTGTAATACAAATACTTTCAAATTTTTGTACGTAAATTTGACCTTTTATTACGTCAGTACGTACAACGACTGATCTTTCAAGTAAGAAAATAATTGGACTAGGTATGAAATATAGATTTTAAAAAAAAGCACTCTGCTGAACTATGGATTTCAAATCAGAAGGTATATTGACTGCACAAGTAAAACTATACTACGCGAAAAATAGTGGATGGAAAGCAAACAAAGACTCTAATGGTCTCCGCGAATTTTTTGGTATCCACATCCCAGTCGTATCACCAAGTAAACTCTGTCAAATGAAAAATTTGACTCACGATTGTATGAAAAAAAAAAATTCTCTCGCTAACTCCATTTTCATTGCCAGAAACGTCACATACTGATACGTAAAAAAAACACTCGAATGTCCCCCACGTACACAGTAGGACAAACAGGCGAGAGAACTGCATGAAGCGAGTGTCAAAATGGATCGCATGCAGGCCAACAGTCGCTGCATTGAACACACAATCTGCCTTTCAAATAACTCCATCGGGAAAATTCGTACGTAAAAATCAAAGCTTCCCAGAAAGAATTTCTGTATTCACGTTGTTTATTCAGACACACCTTTTTTTCATGCTCCAGCAACGGCACTCTCGTGGCAAACGTTGTTTTTAAACGTACACGTAAATATTTTTTTTATAAAGTGAAAAAAAAAAAAAAAATAATAAATAAAAACTTTATAAATATTCCAAAGCACGCGTTCTCGAAATACAAATATTCCCACAAACTGTATACATCGGGAAACGCACAATTGACATCGAGGGTAAAATTATTTTGCACACCCATTCATCGGGTGAAAGCGAAACAAACCAAATTGTCCACCATTAGAGCCATTTGAAAGAAAAGGACGTGGACGCCACCGGCCACGTTTCCACGACCATTAAAATTCACTCGGGCCCCTTTTGGTGCGTGGGTGTTTTTTCAGCCCGTACCATCGCTCCAATCGCACCCTCTGCCCATGCAGCTTCCACGGCTACACCATGGCCCGCAAAGAGCTGGATAGTTTGCTTGTATAATGTTAACTCTCGTTCTCAGGAATCAGATCGAATATTTCTCGCGTAGCGCGTTTGTGAGGTGCGCGTATTGTACAACAGGTCCTAGCTGGGTTAAAAAGGAGAAAAGGAGAGCGACCCTCCCACGCGTATAAAATACACGCACGGAGGCCTTATATGTATCAAAATCCGATAATGGCACGAAACGAATAATTTTCCTCTCTACTTTTATGCACAGCCGTATATGAACCAGCTGGCAAGCAATGGCTTACGAAATCGAGCTCGAGATTGTATAATATATTTATGCATATACAACGACAATGTAAGCCGTAAGTGTACCATAAATCGTTACTCGAAGCAAGGATATTACGGGTATACGGTGTCTTCTCGATATAGTTGGAGATTTTATTTTTTCGTTGTTGGCACCCAGCAGGGGAACTTGTATGCGTAATAGGGTTACACATTGTTAGGCCAGCGCAACTCGAAGGAATTCCTCCTTGGGTTATGGTATTTATTGTGCCTTTATGGGTGACAAACGCGCTATTTCTATGTTTTAGAGGCGTGTACGAGTGTATGCTCGATCGAATTGAATAAGAATTGTTGTTTCACGGTGGTGGCAATGTTTAGCTTATTTGGGTGATAGTTTTTTGATAACCTAGCGCATTTTTTTATTTGTTCCTTGGTATACTCTTTTGAAAGCGTCTACAACGTTTAACATGAGTTTTGAATGTTTTGACAGCAATTAAAATTTTAACGTAAAAGCATGGCAGCCAGAGGCGACTTAATTTTTGTTTGGGTCTTTTATTTAATTGATTTCCTCATACCTATTATATTTTTTGGTTGGATAAAATTGAAAAACTCGTTAAAAATAAACAAGCAGACCCTTGTTGGATATGGAACCACATAAAATGGCTTTTGTACAGTCCAAACCGGTTTTACGTTTGTTCAGCATATGCTTCGTTATTTGTATGAAAGGTTTGATTAATTGAAATCGCAGCGAAATTCTATGAGCAAGTAATGCACTTTATTTGTACCTACATATGAATGGAGATCGGAACAAACAGTGATTCACGAATACTCGGGTTTTTATACTTTTCGTTTAAAAGTGCTCCTCTACCTTTGTAAAAAATGTTTCACTATAGATTTGTGTTTGGTAAACAAGAAAATGTTACATATCTTTTTTTTGTGCTTGTTTGAAAAGGTAAAAGTGGGAGAAATTGTACAATTTAATATAGATTTAATATAATTGTATGAATAGAATGACAAACCTTTTATTGTAATTCTGACATCGAATGAATACCATATTTCGATCTGAATACGGAATCATCCCATATTACTCTATACAGTTTGTGATATAAATACAGCAAGCTTCTTTTAAATCAAAAATAAAATAGATTTCAACTGAGCTTTTTGATGTTCTCCACCGTACTATCTTGTAGTCCATCATACTCGTGACATCATCGATCTTTATTGATGTTCATTGTACATATTGTTCTTGCTTGTAGTTTTGTAGCAGTGAACGTTTAAATGCCTTGATAGGTCTCGAATGAAAATTCGGAGTAAAGAGTTTTTGAAAATCCCTGTATCCTTCACGTCCCGTCAAAGTTTTGATGAAAAGCTCCAAACGAAGGGAAATTGCAAACTCTGAAATTTCGTTCAAGAGACCCATCAAGGATTTTTATTCCTTACTGTAACTGAGTTATAAGTATAGACAATAAAAATTATGTACATTGAAATTGAGCAAAGAAGTGTGATGTCTCGAATACAAGGATCTCCGAGACCTTTACAAAGATATTCCCTTCCATCGTGAAGTGTAAGAACCATCTCGTGCGTTTTTATGGAACCAAATTTCTAGTGAAGTAGAAAATATATATATTTCTTAAACTATTCGCATTCAAAATACATTTTTCATCAACAGTCATGAAAAAAACTATCTCCAAACATCTTATTTACATTATTGACACGGTCTGTACGTCGACCAATCCAAAACAGCGCACCATCGTTCTTTACAAAAGCCCCCAGCTCGAACACTCCACACAGTGGATTGAAACATCCACCCAGACTCCCATCGAATGAAAAATTCCCCCAACTTACCCATTGTTGTCAATCGTACTCCTTGATCCTGCTTCATCCAGATCACTCTCAGTTGCAGTCCTCGATCCACCCCCATCATCGGTATTTTGTCCCTCGGCATCCTCATCCCCCATGCGATCGACGATACACTTCCTCGATCTCGCCTCGTTTCTGTTCAGAAACTCGACGCACTTCTCCGTCGGGCTGGCCCTGGGCGTGGACAGTGCCGGGCAGCCCGGGTTCCTCGTCCTTAAAAACGCGTCCAGATAGTGCTCGCTGTCGCTGGGCAGGTCGTAAACCTGTCCCGGCTTCCACGGATCCCTGTTGTCGTCCACCTGCACGCTCACCGACTTGGCCGTCGGTTGCTTGGCTGGCAGCTCGTCTTTCGTACATACCACGGGGTTGACCACCCCGTTGCTGTACTTCTTCGAGTAGAGCTTGCGCAGGTAAGCCTCCTGCTGGCTGCGTGATGCCCAGCAGCTCGGGCTCCACCATCGCTTCGAGCCGAAAACGCCTGAGGTACGACGTTTCAGCGCCAAGCTGGAGATTATCGTGTCGATGGCGCTGTTGCTGCTACCGCTTTTTTTCGACGACTCGTCGCAGCTAGCCGAGTTGGCCGTGGCTGTCGAAGGAACAGTTGCGGTGCCGTTCGCGTCCATCTTTGAAAGGCTGTTCAATGTGTCGACCGTCATTTTGGACCTTTTTTTTTCTTTCACACGTGCACTTTACTTCGTCACTGAACTTCAACTGCACTTTTAACACCTTGTTTTTTACATTTTAATTTTGCATTTGAGCACCAAAATTTAGTTTGTTTTTCTCATTCGTCGACATACCTGTGTAAACATGTAATAGGAACTAGTTGAAATACGAGTTGAGAGTATGGCACGAGTTGCGTTTCACTGGAAGACTATGCTCCAAAGGTTTTACAAATACAATAAGGGTAATTAAAAAGACCGGTCTTGATTACGAAGCACATTTGCTCCATATAAACCGAGTGACCAAACTTTGCAAAACTAATAGACCAAGCGATTTTTAAATAGAATCCTACGTAGAGTCATACGCGCAGTTCAAAGTCAAGTCGTAAGCCGAAGCTCGCAAAAGTTTTCTACCTCATTAGGCTCACCCCTCCCCTACCACTTGGACCATCAAAGTCCCATTTGCCTAATTTTATCAACCCGAGAAGGCAATTAAACTGATGGTGGCGAGGAAAGGAGAAAAAGGGGAAAAAAAAACTTGGCACAATCTGATGCTCCATCTGGTAACTAACTTCACTACGCTCGGGCAGTTATAAAACGAGCCTTAAACGGGTACTTGTGTATGTATACCTGCAACGTTGGGCGAACCGCTAACTTTCGCACCATTAATGAGAAAAACAATGGCACCCGAGAGCAGACATCAGACTCCTACCATCGCTCACGTAATAAATACGACTCTTTGCCTCCGTCTGGCAATTAATCCGATACCCCATCCTCACGGCAATATTATCGGAGACCTCGCATTTCGTAAATATTTCCTGAATGTGCATCACAACCCCTTGAGCGATCCGGCGTATAATGTTATACATTTCAACTACTGTTACAGTAGAACACACGCTTCCGGCATAGTTGCCTCTTTTGTGATTCCTTCGATAGCCCTTCCACATCCCTCCCGGAACAGCTTTCCTCCTGGTCCTCCCTGTATATCCCTCAACAGCTGCGCTTGTTTTGCTTGATTTTCCGCCGCGAACGACCGCACTGTAATTTTCAGCTCTCCCGCGCGCGCTTCCTTTTTACGCCGGTACGAGGATGATGAAGGAGAGAGAGAAAGAGACGATGTTGACTCTCGTACATATAAGGGGGGGAGGCTTGATTAGCAGATGGCTATCGGCTGATAAATTTTGAAAATCGAAGCGCGCCACTCCTCGCTACCTATTACTGTTATTATTGTTCTTATTATTGTGGTTAAAGGCAGATTTTTGTCGATGCTCGCGTGGAACATGGCGTTCAATTATATTTTTGTGGGGAAAGTACCAGGTGTACACCTGGATTTATCAGATTGTTTCATTTGGAACTCGAGAGCGCGATGTTTGAGCGTGTACGGGAGATTTTTTTTTTTTTTTTCTTGGTCGTAGCTTCGGGTTATACTTTTGCGCGAACACTCAATCAATATTTGCAAACGAGAAAATACTCGGGTATAATCAGGCCGTGGAATTTATCGTTAATACGTGGGTTTATGGTGTGGTTTAATTGAAATTTTTAACCATATGATATCGGTGGTGGTTGGATTCTTTACTGGTGTGCACGGCTGGGTACGAGAAATTTAATTGGATTGTTTTTTTTCAGCACCGCTGTTGGGTTGAAATCAAAGATTTATTTCACTGGACATTACCTGTACTTTCGTTGAAATCATACGAACAATCATCCTTTTTTTCATATAGTTAAAGAATGTGTACGAGATTACGTTCATCACTTACTCTTAACTAATGTCAGTCTATAAAAAGAAATTAAAACATATAGCTTATATTGAATATTTTCGAATTACCCGCCTTCGGCAGATCACGTGATTGCTACGAGCCAATCAAATTTCGAACAAAAATGCTTCGTTACATGACCCATCAATTTTTTGAGGAATAAAAGATTGGAGATTTTAGAAAATTAAAAATACTCCACAAATTGTGCGTTCTTTGTAAAAAAAAACAAAAAAAAAAAAAAAAAAAAAAATGAAAGAAAATTATATAATTATGTGATCGCCGACACCGCATGGCTTTGATTTAATTAACACTAACAATCTCCCAGTCACGCAAAAGTGAAAAACTCGAATGCACCCGATTAAAACTCAGATAATCCACGTACAGGACAAACTCCTCTTCTTCTCGAGGTGTAGTAATTCTTCGCTTTTTAATATAATGCCTGAATTTCCCAGGCTGGAAAACCCAACGCACGCCAAGTCGCAGGAAAAGGTGGATAAGGCGTGCGAGGATTAAAAAAGCACCGACTCGCTTCTTTCTCACGTGAGACAGAGACAGAGAGCGCATGTATACGGTAATTAGACTGTTAAACGGAACCGACGTGCTTGTCCCTCCCTTTTTTTCAGTTTTGCGATGCACAGGTGTTGGGAATGCATTTTACAGTCGAGGGTCGAAGTTTGATCGTTGGCTTTTCGGGCGCACGAGTTTCGGGGATTTTTTAATTCGTTGATGGGCTTGTGAGAGGATAGAGGGAGCAGGGACTGTTAAAAAGTCGTTTGTTGGGTGGGTGAAGGGTTTTGTTTTAATTACGATCGGAGAGGGGAACAAGTTGGGGATGGGCGTTGCGTGCGTTTCCGGTGATGATTGATAAGTCAGTGGTTTTGGATTCATTGGTGTGCTGCGGAGCTCAAGTCGTGCCTAAAATCGATTGCAACTTTATTCTGACTAGTTTTGGAATTTCATGAAAATTGAAAAAAAAGTATAAGGCGTCTGGTGCTTGCCCTGGAGACATGTACCACCAGGTACGAAAACTACTATTTTGATTTTCGTTTTATTTTATTTTTATTATTATTGTTTTTTCTATTAACTCACGAGTAAGTAACATGTAAAAAAAATTTTTTTTGGTACCATACAAACAGTTACATGGGCTCCAAGCACTTTCTCTCACTGAATCATCATTTACATCCTTTAATAAAAAATATTATTCAGAACTAACAGAGACACATGTACATTATAAATTCTGCTTGATCAGTGCAAATGTTATCATAAAACTTGTTTTAATGGTTCTTTCATCGCATTGCTCAAGAAATAGATCGACAGCTCTTTGTGACGCATCCCGTACAAGAGTAATATTTTGTGATACAAATTAACCTTTATATTCATGAATTTTCCCATAGTAAAATATCATAACCAGCAAGGAAACTAAAGAATTTCATTTTGCGAGTATAAAATGTGTGTATACTTATAATGAAATATCCACGGGGACGAACATCAATTAAGGATCTGTCACGGAGAAAAGAGATGTGCAGCGGGTCGTTACCACGATCGAATCCTGCTATAAGCACACAATACTATACCTGCACACATGCAGGTAGGTATATAGGCACCTATGCAGGCACATAAAATACATAAGTATAGGAATATCGGAGTTTCTAACTGAACGGGAAAGGTGAAAAAAGAGCGCCACAGCTGTAAGGATGGACATTCACGGGGAGGAGTCGAACACTCGCGCGTGTGTGTATAATGTATACCGCGCGTGCCATGTATAGATAACCGGTAGTAGGAGAAACGCGGGGATTAACGTTTTAATACGACGACCTGCTGAGAAAACGGAGCTGAGTGAATAAGTACGCGGATATATAATGTATATATAGCTACGGAAGACTGAGAGGTGATGCTCTCTCTTTCTCCGGGTTCTTTTGTGTACCTGTTCAGTTACAGAGGGTTACGTACATTTTTTTTTGTTTAATTAAAAACAAAATTGTTTTTTCTTTTGTTCACAAATAACTAAGCTACTAGTTTTGTATGATTGTTTTTCTTCATAAGGTCTCAGATCAGACACAGAAGTCAATTAGCTTAAAGAAGTCGTAGGTAACGCTTTTGAGATGCTTTTTGTTGAACAAAAGATATAATTATACATGAACATTAATTTTTGAATGATTGTTTATTTTCCTCAATGTGAGCGAATAAACACGATCACATAGAATGTGAGTTCCAAAGAGAGGACGCACGTACAAACGCGCAGGATAACGGATATTTGTTATTCAAGTTACGTTTAAAAGTTGAAATTGGAATGAACGTGCAATTCTCGACGGCTGTGGACTTCTGAATATGTACCTATTATATACTGACAGAAAAAAATCATTTCTATTGTTTACTGTTAAGAAATGTGCATTTGAAAAGAAAGAAGTACTCGATCGTTAACAGTTAACATTAATACAAAGAAAAAAAATTAATGTTTTCATGAATAAAATAGGAATCATTCGTAGTTGGGAGGGAAATGATCAGTTGTTAAAGAAAAGTTTATTTAAATATCCTTGAAAAATTCAACAAGAAGTTGGATATCTTCGAACGATGATCGATAGCGATTTTTTTGGAATATTGGAGTATTATCCAAATTTATTCAAATCATTAAAAACTATCTTTTCATTCAATCTTCAAAAAAAAACGTACTTATTACTGCATTCAGTAAAAGGGAGGGTTGTTAATACAAAATACTAGTACATGCATGATTTTTCAACTTTCTTATTAATCTTATTGCTTGACTTAGCAACAGTGATAATGAATTGTTTAAAATTTCGATGTCGCAAAAAAAAGGAGATGAAATTTTTATAGGTAATGAACTGAAAAATTAATTGATTCTAACCAACGTTCAAAGACTGAGATGGTTATTTGCTCTTGTTGCTAAGCGTAACTGTACATCATATAAATCTATGGCTGGTCCTTTAATTATTCATGTTTTTCGATAATCTCTAATATTAATATCGATGAAAAAAAAAATTTCCCTTTAATTGTTAATGAATATTTTCATTAACTTCAAGCTGTTCATAATTAACATTACAAGTAAATGATGAATTTGTCATGAGTAATCTTTTTTATCGGTGAGTTTAAAATATTAATCAAAATGTTTCATAATAAAAAGAAAAAAAAATAAAAGAGATCGATGAAGTCCAGTGTTTTCTAGCCACATTAGACTACGCCCGTCTTAGAGCAACAATTTTTATTTAAACTTTTAATTGGAAAGAA